GGGTGCCAGACCAAGGCGGGGCACCAGTCGCTGTCATTGGGGCGAGCCTCTGGTGGCGCTGGCCCCACTCTCATCCACTGCTGGCGCTGGAGCCACTGCTTGCATCTGCTGCCGGTGACCGGCACTGGCCCCAATCACTCAGTGCTGTCAGTGGGTGCGAGTGGCAGCTGCTGGCCCGATCGCCCCTCAGGGCTTCTCTACCTCCCTCTGCTCCTGAGGGGCAATCGGGGCCGGCAGCCCCCTCTCGCATCCGCTGCGGATGCCGGAGTCACCGCTCGCACTCAATGCCAGCGCCAGCCCCAATCGCCCCTTAAAGCTTCTCCACCTCCCCCTGCTCCTGAGGGGGGATCGGGACAGCAGCTGCCACTCGCACTCACTGATGGTGCCAGTCCCACTCACACCCGCTAATGGCGCCGGCTCCAATCGCTCTGTGCCATCAATGGGTGCGAGCAGGGTCAGCGCCATCAGCACGTGGGAGCGGCAGCAGCAGGAGTGGAGCTTCCGGCAGACAGGGACCGGGGGCCACGGCAGGAGGTGCCTGGTGGGGGTGTGGTTCATCACTATTGTACTAGTAGCTGTAAATAATACTTGTTAAGCACTAACAGCTAGGCAGTGTGCACAGTTTTCTTTTTTGTGTGTGTGATTGTTAATCATATCATCACAGCAAGTCTGCAGAGTTTTACAGATGAAGAAACTGAAGGTCAAAGAAGTTAGGCATCTATACATATATAAAACCCTAATATGCAAATAGACCGAACAGTGGAACAACTGAAAAGCCGGTCGCTATGATGTGGGCTGACCACTAGGGGGCGTACGCAGAACATGGCGGGGCGTTGGCCGCAGCAGGATAGTGGAGCAGGTGAGCGAGGGTGCCAGACCAAGGCGGGGCACCAGTCGCTGTCATTGGGGCGAGCCTCTGGTGGCGCTGGCCCCACTCTCATCCACTGCTGGCGCTGGAGCCACTGCTTGCACCTGCTGCCGGCGCCCGGCACTGGCCCCAATCACTCAGTGCTGTCAGTGGGTGCTAGTGGCAGCTGCTGGCCCGATCGCCCCTCAGGGCTTCTCTACCTCCCTCTGCTCCTGAGGGGCAATCGGGGCCGGCAGCCCCCTCTCGCATCCGCTGCGGATGCCGGAGTCACCGCTCGCACTCAATGCCAGCGCCGGCCCCAATCGCCCCTTATAGCTTCTCCACCTCCCCCTGCTCCTGAGGGGGGATCAGGACAGCAGCTGCCACTCGCACTCACTGATGGCGCCAGTCCCACTCACACCCGCTAATGATGCTGGCTCCAATCGCTCAGTGCCATCAATGGGTGTGAGCAGGGCCAGCGCCATCAGCATGTGGGAGCAGCAGCAGCAGGAGTGGAGCTGCTGGCAGACAGGGACAGGGGGCCACAGCAGGAGGTGCCAGGTGGGGGTGTGGGTGATGGGCCAAGACCCGCCCCTGTACCCACCGCAGCCTCGCAGCCCACAGTTCCTTTCAAGGTGCATGAATTCGTGCACGGGGCCCCTAGTCTTAAATAAAAGCCTGCTGCTAGGATGTGACACTCCTAGGATTTAAAGCTAGGTATGTCTGCTTGAAAGCCTGTGCTACTAACCATTTTACCATTATATTATAAAGTGGGCATACTGAGGATATTTCATGATGAATGAAGATATTTTGCAGACTCAGAACTACAGTGGGGCCTTGACTTACGAGTTTAATTCGTTCAGAGACCGAGCTCATTAAGGAGCTCGTTAAGGAGCTCGTTAACTCAAATTACTCTGTCAACTCAATGCAAAAAATTGGCCGAGAGACAGCTGGTATCTCAAAAAACTCATTAGTCGGGACACTCGTAAGTCAAGGCCCCACTGTATCTGTAATTAACAGAGGTGTGTATAGATAATAAGTGTCAGAAGTTATTCCACTGCTTTTCTTTGAAATGTTTGGCAATACTCATCTAGTAATAATAAAAAAGAACATTGTACAGCACAGGGAGGGGAAAATAAGGACAGAAGTATTCTTGATCGAATAAAGGCAATGATTGAAAGAAAAAGGCTTCCTTCTTACTCCCTAGGTTCCATGCAATTAAGAGAGGGGGGGAGGGGGAGAGAGAGAAACACAGATTCTCTTCTCTTTCCAGAAAACTGCCTGTTCGAGGAGAGATAGAAAGGCCAAACCAAAGGTGTATTAGAGCAGAATGAACCTTCTCTCTGAAACAAGTATTCAGCCTCCTTCATTCATGCATCAGACTTAATGATATGATGACATTGCTGGTATATTTCCATTGGATGTGGTCGCTGACAGTGCTGCCCGAAAGGACCATTTTTAGAAGTGGGAGTTCATGTATGAATTTTCTGTTTGTACGCAATCACAACCTTTCACATTCTCAAGTGTGTGAAAAGACTTGAGGTTGAACAGTAAAGCTGTTTGCAGGTGTAGCCTCTTGCCTTCAATGAGGGTTTACAACTCTTAAAAACAACTTTTGAGGAAAGCTTTCCATTTGATGTGGATGGTGGCGAGAGTTATTTATGTGTTGTGGAGCCAGTGTGATTCCCTGATGAGGAGAAAATTCCCAGCTAATGATCCAGCAGTTGGGCTTTGGTCAAAGTGAATTACAGTATAGCTTTCAAATCTGAGTAGTTACATTCAGAGCTTATGGCCCTACTGTAGGGGAGGATGCTGGTGTTGCTTGCTTGCTTTTTTTTTTTTTTTTTAGTGGAAAGGGTGTGAGTGGGATCTGTACTTCCACTATTTCTAATCCCATGTGGCTATGGCTTGGTCATCAATCTTTCTGGCCAAGAGACATCTTTGTTTACCCCTCAACTTTACTAAAACCACAAAGGTGGAGAGGAAAATGCCTATTCATTAATGTCAGACACTAATTCAAATAGCTTACAGGCCCCAGGTCAGCATTAAATAAACCTTCGTATATAGTGTGAGTCAGACATGGTTCTGTCAGATGTGTTTTTAGATATGTGGTTGTTTTAGACATCAAGGCAGTGTGTAAAAATTTTTTTCCAGGTTTTATATATTTGAAATGGAAATGAATGAATATGCTTTTAGTTTTATACCAGCAATTTTGTATAGCTTTTATTTTAGTATCCAAATGATAGATTTTATTTTTCAATCCACCAAAAACATTTTATTTGCCAAATATTTGGTAATCTGAAGGCATATCATCTAGATATTTAGAACCTAAGAATGCCTCAGTTCACTTTCTCCAGAGAGGTAGATAGATAAATAGACAGACATATGTATATCTGTATGTTTATTTCTCTGTATATATGCCTCTGTGTGTGTGTGACTGTGTGTTTGTATTTCCATTTGGAAAATAAAAAAATTTTAATTCCTTCAACTAAAAATAAAATTAAAAATCGCTTATACTATTATTTTCCTTTAACCATATGTAATTTTTTGACTTTCTTACTTTGGCATCTCACAGATTCAGTTATCTAACAATTGAAATGACCTGCTATTTAAATCTATTCAAATAATGGCCAATACAAATGTGTAGATCTATAGTGTTAACTGGATGTTAAGTAGATGTACCTTGTATATCCACTTCTTCCTTTACAGCATTCACTAGAAAAACATATTCAGAATAAATAAAGTAATATATAATGACCGATAATTATATCACTAGATGCTGTTGTGTTGCCACACTATAATTGAATTTTTAAGTTAAGGCTGCTGGAAAAAGCGATTTAAATGTATGACATACAAATTCTACACTCTATGATTGTAGTTACTTAAATTAACCTCTGTAAAATTATAGCATGTGGTTTTTTATTTATAACCTCAATTTATTTAATAACTATGTAGCCAGAAGATTTCTGTACCCCACTCTCTTTGCTCTGTACTGGGGATGCAGCTAAAGGAAGATGAAACTGCTCTTATCCTCATGGAACATTCAGACCAGCATGGCAACACTGCTTTCTGTGCAACAGTATCATTTTACCCTCAGGGTTGAATTTACAGGCGGTCTGTCTGAGCATATGGCTGTGCATATTACTTACAGAATTAACTGAAAATCAGTGTCTCAGTGATTATGAATTATGATGGTGGGCCCCCTAGAAGAGCCGTTTCTTGTAAGAAGTGATTGGAAGACCTCTTGGGGAAGCGGAAATGCCTGAGCTTTTTTTTGTTTGCTTTTTTCCCTTCTTTATAGAGTCAGCACTGGAAGGCCTTGATGATCTAGGTACTGTTTACCACCACGTTGACCGGCAGCTGAACCAAACAATTAGGCGTCGCAGACATGCGGGAGACAACGATTACAACATTGAAGTGCTGCTGGGAGTGGATGACTCTGTGGTCCGTTTCCATGGCAAAGAGCACGTCCAAAACTACCTCCTCACCCTGATGAACATTGTGAGTAGTGCCTCCTTTTTGAGGTTTTTTTTAATCTTGTAATTCACGTCTGTCTTGTTAGTGTCTTCTGAAAATCTACGTGAGCCCTTCCATGACTGTGCCCCACACCCAAATGTGTACATACTGCATTAAATGCAAACGGTAACGTATACAGTTAACATACAGTGGTGCAAAAATGAAGGAAACATGAAGCACACATTTCTTTTGGTTGACCTACTAGTTTTCTATTGTCATCAAGGGGAAATGATAAATTTAAGAAGTCATAATGCGGTGGGACTGTGACATGAATTATGTTTCTCATTTTGTTTGGGGAACAATCAAAACTCTCAGGGCTTAGTCTGCCTGCCTTGGTGTGGTCCACAGGGGATAAAACGTCCTTTTAGCATGGTTTTGTATACGGGAATGATAAAGAATGACTTAGGCCTGATAACTCTGTGGGGATGCTTGTTGGTAGAGCTTTTGAATAAGAGTGATATTTTTCAGTATTATATTATGAAGGCAATATATTTTTCAAAGCACAGTCAAGTCTTGGCACAGTGCTGCAATGCATTCATAAAGGGCTCTTTAAATTTGTTCTTCATTTCTTCTTTATGAGCCTTAATCACATCCAGAAGAAATTTAGTCAACATTCTCAAACTAGTGTTTTTTTTCCTTGTGAATTGACAGAGAAAAATGGAAGAGAAATAATATATAAATCACTTCTAAAAGATCATTGAGATAGGAGTGCAATCTATTTTACATATTTTATCCTTTAGAATTATGAAATGAATATTATATTGATCTATCAAATGTATTACCTCAGCCAGTTTTTTCTCTCTTTCAGCTTTTGACTATAATTGTAATCTCTTTGGGCATCTATGTTGTTACCTTCTTTTTTCAATGCTTAAGATTAAATTTCAATTAATTCTACTGGGGAAGAAAAGTATTAGTTTTACTAATCATGATTTTATTTATTCTAATGTTTAAGCCTATATGTTAAATATGTTTTTGTTCATTGAGATGTCAGTTTATAAAATTCCATATATACCATGTCTCTTTGAAACAGAAAATGAGTCTAGAAATTCAAACACATTTTTATTTGTTCATTGCTACTAACTCCTATCATGAAGACCAATTATCACACACACACAAAAACAAATGATTGGCCTTGTCAATAGATGTGTATAGAGCTTCACCACTGTGAATTAAATGAATACCCTCAACTATTGGCTGTTAACTGTTTATATGAGGCTAGTTGCGTAACTTTGAGTATATGGATTAGCTTCTCTGTGTCTGCTTTAGGCTTCCATCGGGGTAGCGAGAAAAAAGTATAGGACTTACTAGGGGTGTTGGGAGGACTGAATGAGTAGATGCAAGTCGTGTGCTTTATACAGTGCTGTATGCACACGCAGAAGAACACAGTCATGTTTTAGATTTCTATATTACCTAATATTTAAAAGTTTCTGTAGAGATGCTGTTCCCAGTTGCATTGGTCATTGTACCCCTTGGCTGCTTTCTCCTACCATTAGCAAGACAGTCAATTATGAAAGACTTGTTAAGCCTCTAACTGGTGCTCAGACTATAGAAAGCGCTTGGAGTAATGCAGCAGATATTCGATATGGTCCTTTGTCCTCACAGAACTTATCATTTAGTTGAGGAGAAAAAAGAAATGTAACGGAAATTTTAAAGTTTGAACAATAAAAGGCATCTATTCATAAGGTGTTTATTGCAGGTGCTACATTATAAGTTCTATAAGACTTTAGGGAAGGGAGCTATGACAATGGTCATCGAAGTTGTAAAGTGCTGAGAATACAGCTGGGACTTAGGAGGCAGAGGCTTTGGTTTGAGCTCTATTCACTGGTTGGCTCTGGGACTTCTTTCCTGGGATTTAGTTTGTGTATTTATAAAATGTAAAGTTTTAACAAGATGTTCATTTAATTCATCAGAAAATATGGAGATAAGCTGGGTCTTTAGGGATTTGTTTACCTCTTGTTTCTTTATTTTGCGTTGTTGTTATTGTTGTTTTTTTTTGAAGGGCACATAAATATGTAAAGGTTTTCTAGGTAGAATCTATTGACAAGAAAGTAGAAGTGGATATAGTATATTTATCAGACAGTTAGTTTAGGTGTCAGAGAATAAACAAAATGCTTCATTTTAGGTTTTATAACCATCAAAAGAACTTTCATTTTTTAAGTTTATTAGAAAGTTTAGATAATAGATTGAGTCTCTGTCTCAAAAAAAAAAACACACAGAAATTATTCTAAACTTAATAGAGCATCAAAGAATGGAACTGAACACAAGAAAATGATTTTTTAAAACAATATTTCATTGCATTGAAGTAATTCATGTTGGTAGGAGTTTTGAGGAGATAAGAATGCTCTTTCCCTTCTCTTCCCAAGTTCATAACCAACTAAAAGATGGACATGGTGAACAGACTAATGGAGACTAAATGGTCTTCTTATTGATGAGAGCTGAATTGCACATGACTTAAGTGTGTAGGCAGAAAGATTTTCCTGATTGCAACCAGTGATTATCAACTGAGGGTATCTTGTCCCAGTCCCTGCACCCCCAACCTTTACCCTTCCCCCGCCAGAACATTTGGCAGTGTTTGGAAATATTTTTGGTTTTCACAACTAGGAGGAGGTGTTACTGCGGGAGAGGTCAGGGTTGCTGCTAAACATCTTACAACTCAAGGATAGCTCTACACAACACAGAATTATGAATTATCCACTTTAAAATGTCAGTGGTGCTGAGTAACACAGTCTACAACCCCCATCCCTCTCCAACTAGACAATTTCAGGTTTCCCCTATAGGACAGGCAGAAAGCTTTAGGCATGATAGACAGCATGATAGGCGGAATCCCTTCCTCTCCTCCCTGAGACCCACTTGTCCTATTATGGACTGTTAGCTCCAAAACACTAAGATGAGTATGCATGCATTTCAGAAATTCACAGTCCATCTGACGCTCATCCAGGTTTAGAACCCAGAGATACAGCCAACTTAAAGTAGCTCCCAATAGCCAAATCTGAGATATTATGAGCAAAAATAAAATGATTATAAAGGATTATGATACATGCAGTAAAAGAGATATTTGTGAGTTACTACTGAAACAAATGAATAATGGAGTATGTAAGTAAACAGGGGACAATTCTTCCTTACATCAGAATTTCAGTAAATAAATGTAGCAGGAATGATAGACTTTAGGAAATTGCTAATTGGCAAGAACTAAAGCAATAGCTGTTGCAGTTAAGTATCAATGAATGATAAATTAGTGGGTGAAAATATAATGTGAAACAGGATATTTACATAGCCTCAAAGTATCTCCCCACTAAGGATTTATTAATCATATAGGGAACACTACAAACTTTATATGGCCAAAGCCTGACAGCACCTTAACCTGGTGGTGGTGGTGGTGGTGG